AGCGGGCGGACCCTCCTCGCTGCGGGTGGTGAGGGGGCTGGGGTGCGGAAGGGGTTTAACCACATTTAACCACAATTCCTTGTCCCCCCATGTGTCCCGTGCCCACAGCTGCTCTCAGAGAGCCAGACCAACATGGCTCGGCTGGTGAGCTCTGTCAGTGACGTCCTCGACACGCTGCAGAAGGAGCGCGGTGGAGCCCGGCCTCGGCTAAAGGCTGACCTGCAGCGAGCACCGGCCAGGGGAGCGCGGCCCCGGGGCTGCTCCAACGGTGAGACGGGGCCTCATCAGTCCCTCTTGCAGGTCTCTGCCTAAGAAAGAGGGAGGGAAATGTGAGGTGGGGGAAACCAGCCCAGAGAAGGGATTTAATAGAGCAGGGGGGTTGGCAAGGTGAGGGGGGACATGGAGCAGAAGGGAGATGCAAAGTTGTGTCCTAGAAGGAGAGTTTCTCACCATGCAGCCCACAGCAGTCCATAAACCAGCCTGCCAAGCCAGCACAAAACCCACTTCACACCCTTGCAGACCCCCTTGCTCTCCATTCAGACTCAGCTGTAAAAAAGCAGAGTAGTAAAAGGGCTAAAAGCAGAGCAAGAAGCGACCATTTACCTTCATTTGGGTGCAGAGGGCAGCGCTGCATGGGACTCAGAATAAACAGCCACATTCCTCATCGTTTGGTTAAGATGAAGCTGAGTAAGACTGTTCTGGGGCTGCGAGCACATGCCCACACTCTGCCTGCAGCTACCTCCAGGCATCAGCTCCCTCATCCCCATCTGGGTCCCTGCCTGCCTTTGCCATCACACAGGGGTACAGGGTGAGTCCTGGCTGCCTGGAGGGGGGTCCCCATGGTGGCTGCATCCCCCCAAGCACCGCTCGCCTTGACCATCAGAGGAGAAAGCGGGGAAAGAGCAAGGCAGCACCAAGCAGCCAACTAGAGCTGGCAGCAAGGTTGAGAGCCTGAAAGAAATGGCAAGACATCAAATTAGATCACTAATTAACCAGCTTTCCTCTCATCCCACCCCATCCCAATGCCACGCTGCAGGCTCCCGGCCCCGAGACTGCTTTGACATCTATGTGAGCGGACAGCAAGAGGATGGGATTTACTCCATCTTCCCCACGCACTATCCCTCCGGCTTCCAGGTCTACTGTGACATGACGACCGATGGGGGTGGCTGGACGGTGAGCTGCCGCCGTGCCGGGGATGCCAGTGTGATGCCGCTGCCGGCCACGGGATGGGAGATGTCACTCTTGGCACTTGAACGTGTCATTGGGATTGGGAGATAAATGTTAACGGGGTCTGGCTGTGCACAGGGTGCCAGGTCCCACGGGGAAGTGGGCAAATGGGTTTGTCTGTGTTACCTGTGCCAGCAGCATCAGCAGCACTGCCCAGTGCTTCCAGCTGGAGCACAGTGGCTTTGCCCCAGGTCTGGGGAGCTCGGCTGGAGCTGGAGGGTGGTTTAAGGCAGGGAGCTGGAGGCCATGGCTGGAGTTCACCCTTGGTGAAGCTGGTGCCATGGGGCATGTGGATGTGCTTTGTGCTTTTGTCCTTGTGGTCCCGGTAAGCTGGGACCAGGATAGACCCCAAACCTGGCAAGTTTTGCGTTGTCTAATGCAGGGGTGCCCGGGGTGCTTCCCCCACCGTGCTCATTGTCCTCTCCAATTTGCTTTGCTGCAATGTCCCCACAACCGCAGTGATAGGGGCAGCGAGCAGGGG